TTGGAGGATTCACTGAGATCAAAGAAGCCAAATTGACCAGCAAAGTCTCTAGTTTAGACAACTATTTCCTGAGTGCCTACCATATGCCTGGCCCTGCACAGTGAACAAGCATTCTGGTATGTGGAGGATGCAAAAACTCAATCAGTCAAAAGAATATTAGGGCACAGCAGGGACTGCTGGAGACTGGGAGTAGGCACTTACAAGAGGAACACCAGTGGCTGCTTTAGATTAGGTGGTCGGATGGACAAAGCTCCTGTTGGGCAGGGACACTTCAGTTGAAAAATGAAAAACAGGAAGCAGACCAGGTGTAGCATAGGGGAGCATCCCAGACAAAAATGACAACCAGTATTATATCATAGCTAAAGAAACAGTACACTCAAAAAAAAAAAAAAAAACCAATAAAAACAACAACAACAAAAAACCCTTATACTAGTGCCCAGGAAGGGCAGGGAATTTCTTAGATTTCTTAGGAGGAAGAGAATAGGAAGGAATTCTACAGCACACCTACTGTAAGCCAGGATCTGCTCTATAGATTCTCCATATACCGTCTTCTACTTCCCAACAGGATGATCAGAGGTAGAAGTTCCTAAAGGAAGTCCTTGGGAGTTTGAAAGGGGGAAAAACAGAAGTAATGTCTTTGCAACAGCTGCGTGAAAATGGTTACTGGAGGTGCCCGCCAACTTTAGGAGTAAGTGTGGCCAGGGAGGAAGGAGGCAGAGACCCACCCTTAGGAAGGCGGAAGCCCTTAATTGTGGGTTGCTGTGCACAGGCCACTTCAAATACAAAGGCATGTGTCCAGAATGAAGAACCAATGCTGTCCACAGCAGAGATGCAGTTGAGGGCTTATCAAAGAGAGTGCTGGCTACTCCAGAGGGACCTCGCAGAAAGCAGAGAGCATCCCACTTTCATAAAGCAAAAAGGGGACAGTGATCTGGCAGTTAAAGCAGCATACTCAGGACTGGAAATAGAGAAAAGAAGGACTGGGGCTCCAGCCACCTCCTTCCTGAGACACTTCCCATGAAGGTGGGTGCAAAAGGAGTTAATGATGCATGGAAAAGTTACTTCTATTTTAATAGTTAATGAATTTTCATTGTGGTAAATATGTATCACACCAAATTTGCCATTTTAATCATTTTTAGGTGGGTGGTCAGTAGTGTTGAGTACATTCACAATGGTGGGCCACCACACCACCACCCATTTCTAGGACCGCTTCTCTCACCAAACTGAAACTCCCTACTAAACGCCTATCCCCATTCCCCTGGCCATAGCCCTGGCACTCACCCTGCTACTGTTTGCCCACAGTGCCCAATGCAATCGGACTCAAAGATCTTTTTATGGATAGCTTACTTCACTTAGTCGTCAATGTCCATCCACAAGCCAGCATTTCTTTCCTTTTAAACCCATTAAGTCCCAGTTTTACAATTCTGCCAATATTTCAGTGAAACAGACATTAAAATAGGTTGGAAATCATAATCTAGAAACTATATATTATTTTTTCCATTTTATTGGTGCATCGTGGCCCATATATTATTATACACCAACTTAAGCAATATTATGATTATTAGATGATTACATTCGAATCCTATATATTTTAAAGTTTGTATAGGAGTTCCACATCTGGGACGATGTGACAAAAGGGGGAAAGGCAGAATGGCATTACATCACTGCACGTACTGCACCTTGTGCCCTCACTCATCCACCAGTGGAGCTAGGGTTGCTTCCGTCTTTTGGATAAGGTGGCAAATTCTGTGATGGACATGGGCATTCCTGTGCTTTCAGTGATTTCTGTATGTACATATGGCTATATGGTGATTTTATATTTGAGGAAACAATTTCAGTAGCAGCTGTAGCACTTCATATTCCTTTCAACACACGAGCATTCCTATTCATATCTGATCCAATACTTTTTGTTATTTTCATTTTCTTTTGATAGCCATCCTAATGGACATGAAGTGGTATGTCAAGATGGTTTTGATATGCACTTCCCTAATAACTGATGATGTCGATCATCTTTTCAGTGCTTACTGGCCATTAACATATCTTCTTTGGGGAAAAGCTATTCTAATTCTTTATTTTTTGTTACTCGTAATTTGTAGGTGTTCTTTAAGTTCTGCACATTAACCCATCATGAGATACATAATTTACAAATATTTTCTTCATTTCATGGGTTACCTTTTCACCAAATATCATTTAATATACAAACATTTTAAAATTATTTATTTTTTTTAGTTGTCAATGAATCTTTTGTTTTATTTATTTATATGTGGTGCTGAGGATTGAACCCAGGACCTCACACATGCCAGGTAAGCACTCTACCAATAATACCAATAAGCCATGACTCCAGCCCTTAAAATTTTTTTTTAAATCAAACGTTTTAAATTCTGATGTAGTCCTATTTATCTATTTTTCTTTTATTCACTATTGTTCTGGCATCATATGCAAGAATCCAATGTCATGAAGCTTTTCCTACATTTTCTTCAAATAGATTATATATTCACTTTAACATTTAAATAATGAGCATTTTTTTTTTAAATTTTCAAAAATTTAAATGTTGAGAATTTAAATTAATATATAACAAACAACAAAGAGAGGTTTAACATACATACCCTTTACAGTGAGCTCCCAAATGAGTGATTTTGGTAAATTGTGTGCTAAGCTAAACTGCATTTCTTATTTTTTAGTGCTGGGGATCAAACTGGGTCTCTGTACAGTAAGGCAAGTGCTCCCTCATTGAGCTACATCCCCAGACTAAGATGCATCCTTCTAAACATACCCACTGCTTTATTGGCTCATAGACTTGAGTTTCTTCCTCTCATTGCCTGGGAAATGGCTCTGAGGATGATTCAAACACCTGCTAGAGAAGAAAGGGTGTTCCAATGGAGTGGCTCATTTGAATATTTCATGCTACCACAGAAACCTAAGTTGTTTACTGTAAAATCTGACCTAAGAGATCGGAGGAGAAAAAGCCAAATCCTATTAATCCAACAAGATTTCATTTGCACCCCTATAAGGAATCTTGAAATGAACCAATCTGCTATTTATGGTGCCTGATTTCCTCCACTTTTGTTGACCTGTAAAACTCATCCACTCTGTCTATCTCATTGGCACCCCTTTCTATTTTGCAGACTAGATGCTGCCTAGTTCATGACTTCCTAGTAAGAACGAATTATATCTTTGGAACCTAAAACTTGTTGAAATTTTGTTCTTTCACACATCTGTAAAGTAGCCATAAGGACAAAGGCTGGTGATACTGAAACTGGATAACAAAGCAAGTCATCCAACCTAAAGAGCAAGACAAAACATGTTTTGAAAGTAGAAGGAAGTAGTATAAGTCCACAACAATGCATTAAATCAACTCTGAAATGAAAATGTTCTGAAAATCATGAGGTTTTTTTCTCCTCCCATGTTTGGAGCAAGCCTGTGTGAACCGATGAGACTATAATCTTTATATATCACAGTCAGGATAAATATTTTGAACAGTCACACATTTTTGCTGTAGAAATGCTTGGTTGTAGGGTCCTAGCCCAGATCCCGTTGAAAGTTTTTATAAAACGCAGTATATATACCTCCCCCTTTAAAAAAATTCAAACATTTTTGAATTCTAAAAACACATCTGGCCCCAAGGGTTTTTGATACTGGATTGTGAGCCAGCAGTGGCAGTACTGTTTAATAGAGCACTTGTGTCAGACATGCTTCTCCGGTACTTTGTATGTAAACGTCTCCCCTAGTCCTCACCACTCCCTATCAGTCATCATCATCATCTCTTTCAAGGGAGGGAACTGAGTTAGGTTAGCTCCTTAATTTGCTGAAGATCATGTAGCAAGTAGCCTGAGTACGGCTTCATGCATTTCATCAAAACAGGGCTTTGTGACAAATGATGCCTTCCACTGAGCAGAACGGGAAGCTCACTGTGACCCAGACATGCCAATTTGGAGACGGGCAGTCAGGTGGTTCGCAAGGCCCTGGGTGCTTTCCCACTTTCCACTGGGGTTGCCCCAGCGGCTCCCGTGGTGCGGCCAGGCTGCAGCAGCTCCGGAAGTTACACTGGGCAACAGCAGAGAAGGCAGATCCACACACCCACCTCCTCCTTTCACAGGAAGGACAGTCCTTCCCAACTCTGCTCGACTGACCTCCTACTTCTCATGGGCCAAAACCAGGTCACAGGTCCCCCGCCAGTGGCTAGCGAAGGAATGTCCCGTTTTAATTCATCGACAGGGCCCTGGCTCTGGGCCCTACGGTGCGGAACCGCCGCGAGCTCGGCGGCGGAGCAGGAGGAAGCGGCGGGCCGGAGTCGGGGCAGCTGGTTACAGCAGGGGTCTAGAGCCTCAGGAGGGAGGACCTGGGCGCCGAAGCAGAGCGGCCCCGCCTCTGGGCCTCGGCTTTCGAGTGCACAGCCCCAGGGTCCCGGCGCCTGCGCCCTCCGGTCTGTAGAGGTGTGGGAAGCTCCCAAACTTATCCACAAGGTGCCACCAAAAGCCGCAACCGCGCCCAGCGTAGCACCCGGCCACGACCTCGGTGGCTCCCAGGGTGCCGGCCAGAGTCCAACTCTGGGAGCCGAGGCGCGTCAACCGGACCTCAACTCCCAGAAACCGCCCGAAATCTCCCATGCGGATTGGCCCGCTGCGCCATCTATCAGTCTACCAACAGCAGGAAGAACTGCTGACGGTGCCCAACGACCAATCACAGGAGAGAGGAGGCGGGCGGCCCACCTGCCGATCCTTAGGCTGTGGTTCAAGTATGGCGGATACTAAACCAATGGGCCTTCGGCGCCCCACAGCTGATTCTATGATCGGGGAAGGTCAAGCCACCCCTCCCCTACGAAACAGCTGCATAGGGCAGACAGGCAGAGCCCCTCGAGCACGTGTCTCCGAAAAGACTGCGGCCTCTGCTACTCCGGCCTGCGGCCCTGGCGGTGTAGGGATTTCGCGCTCCTCGTGGGCCACGCCCTTCAGCCTCCTCATAGGCTCCCCCGGAACACTTGGGAAGGAACCTGGGCGTGGCGAGCCTGGGGCGCGGCCTCCGGGTGGGCCTGAGAGGCCGGCTGACTCGGGCCTGAGGCCGCATGGACAGCCTGGCGCTGGGTCAGTGGCGACGGCGGAAGCCGGAGGAGCTGCCGGTTCCGGGGGACGCGGTGAGCCCCGGGGCCTGGGTGTTAGGAATGGAAAGGCGCGTGCCCTTGGGCTGGCCCCCACCACCCTCGGCTGCGGGCAGAGCACCACCTGTAAGGCAGACTGGCCCTGCGGCCTGCGCCTCACCGGGGCGTGTCTGGGGGCGTGGCCACGCGCGAAACCGCGGCCTCGCTCCGCCTCCCCCCGCGCCTGCGCGGACTCGTGGAGCCCGGCGGCCGCAGACCCGCCAGCTCTCCAGGACCCGACGCCGGCTCCCTAAAATATGCACTGGGGACCCCTCCCACGATCCCGGGTGTTCGGTGTCTAGATCAGCTGGCCTCCCGCTTCCCGCACTCTGGACAGGTCCACGTGCCAGTGCTGCGCGGCTTCAGCCGGGGAGAGCGCGGGCTTGTGTGTGAGAGTGCCGGACTGCAGGGTGCGGCCGGCCGCAGCCCAAGGAGGGCCGGAGAGCCCGGCTCTGTAGCGGGTCGTGAAGGATCCCGGAGGGATGGAGCCTCGTGGCAGAGCTGCGTCTTCCCATCTGCTGGCAAAGGGGGCAGTTATTTTTTGACCTCACTTATTTTGTGGTCCCTTGCTAAGAGCAGCAAGAGCAGCCAAGATACCCAACATTTGCTCTTTTCCTTAGTTATTTCTTTGAGAGCTACAGACTTGATAAGTGCCAGGTCTGTTTTTTCAGATAATGCAGGCAACATTTTTTTCAGACATTTTTGTAGATTATCGAAATTGAGTATGGCGATTGGGGTGTAGCTCCCTAGCCCCGGGCTCACTTCCCAGGCCCCCTTCACATGAGTGACGAGGGGCGCTGGAGTGGTAAAGGGAGTGCTTAATATGTACAAGCCCTTGGGTTCAGTGACTAGCTTTCTACTTGCAGCATCTGTTCCCTCACTAGCCACTCACTACCTGATGTGGAACCAGTGCCACTTATGTTTCTGTCAGCAGCACCCCACCTCCAGGGGCCAGTTATTGTGTTTCCAGGATATATCAGGCTGCGAGCTTCTATTGTGGGTGAAGACAACATGGAGTTCGGTTCTTCTGCACATAACAGTGTGGAGATGAGCCAGTCCACGGTGGTGAAAACCAGGTTCCCTGAATTTAGGTGTAAGGCAGATGGTACCCAGATCCAAGGACATCCAGGTACCTCGAGTCCTTCTCTAACACCATCCCCTGCGTGTCACTGTCACTGTCAGCTGCCTCATCACTGCAGTATTCACACTCCAGACAGTAGGGAAGCAAGTGGTGGAGTCTCAGGATTATAGGACACTTCTAGAGCTTACTGCCACTGCCCTGTGGGAAATGTAGGGTGGGGTCAGAGTGAGGGCTCTCTGCCTGGTGCATCAGACAGCTGGGTGGGGAGAGCAGCCTGCTGTAGTCTTGCTGACAGTGATGGGAGGGCAGTGGGAAGGGTGGAGTCCCCTCTCAGGGTGGCCTTGAGCACCTGGGAGGGCAGTGGTTCCTGTTCTGAGAGAAAGCTGGTGTGGTACTGGGAGAAAATGGAGTTCCTGTTAGGGCAGGCTGGGTTCTCTGACTCTGGGACATTTAGTGGTGATATGGCAAATACTGCTAGTCATTGAGCAGTCACCATGTGGATCATCTGGATTTCACAACAATGTTTTATTGTTCCCATACTATAAATGAGAAAACTGAGGTGCGGAGAGATTCATTAGCTGTCCTCCAGGCCCACAGCAAGCCAGAGTTGGAACTAGGATCTGTCTGTAGAGCTTCTCCTCCTAACCGTTGGGCTACACAGCTTTCTGTGTGGGGATCTTGGAGCTGAAACATGAGGGTTTCACAGTGTTGTCCTAAATTGGCCATCATAAAATGATGAGAAGTGTGATGCTGAGGGCTGTCAGGGACGGGGAGCCAGAGGTCATTATTGATCAGAAAGAACGGAGGAGACTTAATGGAAGAAACCTTGAATGATCTATCAGATTGGAATTGCTGAAATTGAGTGCCAAGGCTGCAACCGCAGTGCTTCCTGACTGTTACCAAAGAATAACGATTTGGGTATCTTAGAGCCATGGTGTGTACTGCTTCTTAATTTGATAAAGTTCTTGTTTATATTGTACTGTGTCCTAGTCTTTGATCTAATAATCCAGATTGAGTTCAATAAAGTATCCGAGTGCTTGTATCAAGTTTTCTGTTCTCTCCAAGTTTTCTTCTCTCTCTCTCTCTCTCTCTCTCACACACGCACACACACACACACACACACACACACACACACACACACACAATTCTCCAGCATTTGATTTCTGAGGAACTCCAACTATTTTCCTCCTGTTGGCAGCCCAGTGGCTCTATACTGAGTACATATAGCCATGAGCAGAGTCCAGAAAATTGCCTGGCGTGTGATGCCTGGGCAGAGCCTGTCAGGTGCATCCTGGTCCTGGTCGCAGTTTCCTAGCTGAGCAGTCAGCTAGTGTGGTGACTGGCAACTGTGTGTTGGCAGCATTGGATCATTTCCACCTGCAGACATCTTTTGAGCCCCTGTTGTGGCCTGGGTCCTGGGTGGGCACAGGAGGTGTGACGCTTGGCAAGAAGTGTGGAGACCTTTGGAACTCCTGGCGAGATTTCTTACGTAGTACCCGCGCCTATTGTATTTTCAGATATTTTTCTTGTTTCCCTTACTTCCTCTCTTTCTGAAACTTCAGTTATTCATCTGTTCCTGAAGTTGTCTTATGATGCCTACTTAAAGCCTTCTCTGTGTTCAGATTCTATACTCTGTATTGCTGTTTCAGGTTCACTAACCTTTTCTTCTGCAGTGTCTAATCTGCCATTAATTATATCCAGTCCATGTTCCATCTCAGATCTGGATCCCTGTCTCTGTTTAACATTCTGAACATATGCAGTTATAATGACCTTTTAATGTTCTTCTCTGCCGATTCTAGCACTTGTGTGATTTCTGGGCCAGCTATAATGGATTATTCTCATTACAAATCACATTTTTCCACTTCTTTGCTGACTTAGTAATTTTTGTTTGGATGTCAGACATTGTCAGTTTTATATTTTGGGTACTGGATATTTTTGGATTCCTATGAATATGATTGAGCTTTCTTTTTGGAACACAAATAAGCTACTTGGAAGTACTTGAGCCCTTTGAGTCTTGTGTTTAAGATCACAAGGATTTTGGGTTTTACTGGTAGAGTCAGGCAATATTCCCAACCATGTTTGAGCATCAAAAATTGTCATTTCTAATCCTTCCAGGTGGTTCTTTCCATGGCCTTAGGTAATTTCATCCCTTATCCATGTTGATCAATATTCAGCTGAATGCATCTTTCTCTCTCCAAGCCACTGTCTTCTGCAGTAGTCTGCTCTGTGAGATCCAGCAACCTTGGCCTCCCTAACCTCTCATCAGTGTGTCCTAATCTCAGGGAGTTCACCAGGCTCCACCTGGGTTCCACCTCCTGTGCCACAGCCTGAAAGTGGTCAAGGCAACATGGACAGGCAGTCATAGGGCTAACCTCATTTGCATCCCATATCTCAGGGGTCAGCACCCTGTTTCTGGTTGGTTAGTGTCCTGAAGTCTGTTATTTAATTTACTTTGTCCATGTTTGGTTATTTCATGAAGGAGAGTAAATTCTATTGCTCCAATTTAACCCCAAAAAGTTGAATAATACAGGTTGATTAAAGGTTTTTAAAAAGGAAAAGCACATGCACTAATAAAGTTTGAACTTTGAAGGACTTAAGATGTTCAGGAAAATTAATTCTAAATTTTTCTACCCTGTTTTGATTTAGAATGTTTTAAAGGTTGTCTTTCAAAGACAAAAGCTCTTGTAAGTTGTACATGCAGCAGCAGCTTCATGAAAACAACTAGCAGTGTGACTATTTTCTATGCAGTTTAGCTCATCTGCTGTTTAATGAGTCTGTTTATCTGGGAACATCATCACCCCTCTAGACGCTTCTGTAGGTGGGCAACAGTCTGGGCTCAGTCCATCAGCGGACATGCTTTTCCAGTGACACCCACACAGTTCATGCCTCCAGGCCAGGATGAGTAAGCTTGAGGCTGTGAAAAGGACAGGTAATTCCTTGTCTCCACTGGAATGCTTTTGATGCAACTATGCAAACTTTGATATGAGTAAACTGTAAAGTGCTATATGATATTTCCATGAGTCCTTGGTATTATGAATTGGTGAAAAAACAGAGGCAGAGGATATTTTAGGTCCACTCTGCTCTGTGGATTACTTCTGGACCTACCTTTGCTACTCTTGGGAAATTATCCAGTAAAGCTTGTAGTCCTTTGTCAGCAAAACCACTTAGACATATCGATGACTTTAACTCCATTCAGTGACCCTAAGCAGTCCAACCTAGAAAGCAAGAATGTTGGGAGTTAACTTTGCTAGCTTCACCCAGATTTTTTTTTTTTTTTTTAGCTCATCTGCTGAGCTCCCTGGAAAAACATTGGGAATCCCTCTTGATGAAGCAGACCCCCAGCAAAGCCCCATTGTCTTCCAGGGGTCACTCTTACCATTGAAGTAATTGTGACCCACTCCTCAGGAAACAAGTTAGTTTTATTCTAGAAAGGAAATCGGTAATAATTCATTTCTAGTTACAGCCCTAATGCAGATGTTCGCGCTGTCAGCCACACATAGCCTCAGTCATTTCTGGTTTCTGGCAGATTTCTTTGTAAGTGAACTGAGTCAGGATGCTGCGAGGCCAGCAGGAAGGAGGTCTCCTCATTGGAGCACCTCTTTAGAGTCTGTTGTGTCTGCAGCTGCTCTGGGAGTGACTTGCCTGCTTCTGCAACTACCAGAGCCAAGCAAGGTGCGTAGCAGGTATTCAGGAAGCATGGTTCGTGATGACTTAGGCGGATGCGGATGTTTTTAACTGAGAAGAAACCAAGGGAGGGTTATGTGAATGTGAGAATTGTTGGCATGTTCAAGACATTTATTTAAGGAAAACTATTCAGTTGGGGAAAGCCCCACCAGTGGCCACATGATTACCCTTCCCTGAGACTGCCACTCAGGTTGTCTTAGGTGCTCTCTTGTAGTCATCAAAACAGTGTTGT